CTGAGCCACACAGGCGCCCCTTTTACCCTGTTTTCTAACACCACAGTTTGACCTGTTTTGGGACCTTCTATAAACATGATCCTACAATATATATTCTTTTAGTCTGGTTTCTTCCATTTATCATTATGTCTGGAAAATTCAACCATGTTGTTATGAGTAACCTAGTTGTTAATTTTCATTGTATAGTAGTCCATTGTATGTCTGTATCACAATATATTCATTTAGGTTGTTTCCAGTTTGGGATTATTAAGTGAATAATGCTGCTATTCTGGTGCACAAAGCAAGCATTTCTGTAAGGTATACACCTAAAAGAGAGAGAGAGAGAGATTGAGAGAGAGAGTGAGCATGAACAGGGGGAGGGGCAAGAGGAGAGGGACGGAGAGAATCCCGAGCAGACTCCCCATTGAGCCTGGAGCCCAATGCTGGGCTCAATCCCAGGACCCTGAGATCATGACCTGAGTGGAAATCAAGAGTCGGAAGCTTAACTGACTGAGCCACCCAGGCGCCCCCAACTCTGTTCTTCTATAAGGTTGTCCTACCTTTCCTATCCCTTTGCATTTCATTCCCCAAAACACTTAGAATCAACTTACTATCATTTTTTTAAAAATCTGCTGGGATTTTGACTGGGATTACACTGAATCTATATATCAGTTTGGGGAGAACTGACTTCTTTACAATATTGAGTCTTCTAAGATATGAACATGGCCTATCTTTCCACTTATTTGGATCTTACATAACTTCTCTCAATAATATTTTATAGTTTATTTTCTTGTATATCTTTCAGTTTTTCTAAATATTAGAATAGGTTTTAAACATTTATTGACAACTGGTTTTCTTTTAATTTCATGGATACTGTATTGCATTGCTCAGCACTTCCCTAACCGATGTTCCATGAAATACCATCTCACTTTTTAAAGTAGTCTGGTAAATATGTTGGGGAAAAGTGGGGTTAAACAAGTTAACCAAGGGGGCACCTGGGTGGCTCAGATGGTTAAGGGTCTGCCTTTGGCTCAGGTCATGATCTCAGGGTCCTGGGATCGAGTCTCACATCAGGCTCCCCCTGCGCTGTGGGGAGCCTGCTTCTCCCTCTCCCTCTGCCCCTACTCCTGTTTGTGCTCTCTCTCTCTCAAATGAATAAATAAAAAAAAATCTTAAAAAAAAACCAACACAAGTTAATCAAGTTTCTTTACTGCAGGACTTCTAAAGCCTTTAATGTGATAATATAAGATTCCTCACACTCGTCTGGCTATACTTATTCAATATGCAACAAATATCATTGTCAAGATACAGTGCAGAGAACAGAAATCACTTTAGGAGATTTGAAGAGGATTTAGCCCAGGGAATTAGGTACTTACAAAATTCACTGGGAGGCTGCAAGAGCAGATCATTGGCTAAGCTTCTAGGAATGACTCCCAGATGCCCACAGAAAGAACCCTCCCCCGAGGGAGGCAGTACCAAAGGGGTCACGACTGGAGCTGCTCAGCCCATACACACTTTATTCTTTTTTTTTTTTAATTTTTTATTGTTATGTTAATCCCCATACATTACATCATTAGTTTTAGATGTAGTGTTCCATGATTCATTGTTTGTGCATAACACCCAGTGCTCCATGCAGAACGTGCCCTCCTCAATACCCATCACCAGGCTAACCCATCCTCCCACCCCCCTCCCCTCTAGAACCCTCAGTTTGTTTTTCAGAGTCCATCCGTCTCTCATGGTTCGTCTCCCCCTCCGATTTCCCCCCCTTCATTCTTCCCCTCCTGCTACCTTCTTCTTCTTTTTTTTTTTTCTTAACATATATTGCATTATTTGTTTCAGAGATACAGATCTGAGATTCAACAGTCTTGCACAATTCACAGCGCTTACCAGAGCACATACCCTCCCCAGTGTCTATCACCCAGTCACCCCATCCCTACCACCCCCCCACTCCAGCAACCCTCAGTTTGTTTCCTGAGATTAAGAATTCCTCATATCAGTGAGGTCATATGATACATGTCTTTCTCTGATTGACTTATTTTGCTCAGCATAATACCCTCCAGTTCCATCCATGTCGTTGCAAATGGCAAGATCTCATTCCTTTTGATGGCTGCATAATGTTCCATTGTATAATATACCACATCTTCTTTATCCATTCATCTGTCGATGGACATCTTGGCTCTTTCCACAGTTTGGCTATTGTGGACATTGCTGCTATAAACATCGGGGTGCACTTACCCTTTTGGATCCCTACTTTTGTATCTTTGGGGTAAATACCCAGTAGCCACACACACTTTATTCTTGTGCCCCAACCCCAACTGCCTCTCAGTACCTGGGAAATAGAACACAAATGCCAAAACCCCTCACATGTCACCACAAAACAGCAATAATGATAATAATGATCATAAATAAATAAATAAAATAAAAAGAAAAAAAAGGAGGAAGAGTTGAAATGATTTCCACGCTTTTACCCTCTGGATCTCTCAGAAGCATTTCTGAAAGGTGAAACCAATTTTGCATCCAGGACCACAGCCTACATCCTCTGCAGGATAAGAAGACAACTAGAAGGAGGGGACAATGCAGACCGAGCTCGCCGAGCTACAGGATCCACCGCAACTCACCACGTGCCTGGCCTATGTGCCAGACACTTTTCTAGGCAGAGGATACACCTGTGAGCTCAGACTTTAGTAAGAAAGGCATGTGCTGAACAAGTTTATGTAAGTGCCTGCCCCCCAACCTCTGACAGACCTGATACAATTGCTTCCCCAAAACTGGTGTTTTATGAGACACAACGTGGTCATGCTTCCCTCCTGGTATTGGAGGTAAGTGCCAAATCCGTGCGCTTCACTTCTACCCACTACATACGACATTATGGCATGCATTAACTTTACGGTCATCTTATTATTTCCCACTCTTATTTTCCCTGGGTTCCTATTTCCCAATTTACTTTTTTGTCATATTGTGCAATGTATTTCTGTAAGGCACCTCAATCTTCCTCCTTGAAACAGGACAGATATAAATCAATCACCTGACTGTGAATCCCCCGAGCTCACCTGTGAGGAGTTAGCCCACTCACAGGGTTCTCCTACTAGCATTTTTGTTGGCTTCACAACTTGGACAAAATACAAATGTAAAACAGGAGCCTTCATTTCATTTCTGCCTTCACTTTGGTAACCAAAAGACAAGTGAGAGGATTAAAAGTTGAGGCAACAATACTTTCTTGGAATAAAAAACTAATAGGCTCTACAGTATTTTATGATCATTGGCTTTATTAATGCAGAACAATTAATGCTAGCCATAAAAACGTATAATCAAATGGGTTATTATTACAAGTTAAAATTTATTCTCTGTTCCCCATATTGTAATTTAATGGAAAAAAAAACATGATTAACAAAAACTTGCCACCATACAATCAATTTGAAATAGGCTGTTTAGGAACAACAGTAGAAAAAGAAAGTGTGCACAGGAATGCCTTACATTTTGACCAACCAAAAAGGTTTGACCCATTCTGGCTTATAAAGCAAGATACCAGTGTTTGTGATTTTGAAAATTCACTTAAACTTTTTCCCTGCACTGGTTCCTTTGTAATACATTTTCTTGAGTTCTACCCATGACTGCCACAGTAACAGCCCGGGCATCAGAACCCACACACTATTGAAAAATACCAGATAGACCCCAAAGTAGAGCCAGTTGTCGGTGTTGAGGTTGGGGCCTCCCATAAGCCAGTCTGGGAAGAAGGTCATCCACCCGCCATACAATTCACACACGCACAGGGTAATCTGTATGAAATGCCTGTTAGAGAGAAAGAAACAAGAGCTCAGCGCAGCTGCGCACCCGGAATCCTGACATCTTGTCTTAGATGTCAGCATTAACACAGTCTTCCACAGCAGAAGACCTCTCTGAAGTCAGACCTCAGGTTTTGCACAGCGCTCCTTTGATGGGGCAAGTCAATCTGATTAGTGGAAGACCCATACATCCTCTGGAGAAGCAATACTGCCCTTTCTAGAGGATTATTCTCAGTTAAATAAGGTCTCTCAGGTATCCTGTTCTATTCTTAGGACGATTTACTGAGGTCACACCTCGCCCAGCAAAAGAGACTGAGATGCGAATCTTGCTACGAGCCACAATATTATCTTACCCGAAAAGGGGATAGTAAGAACAGTCCCTTCCTTGAAGAATACAGTGGGCAGTGAGTCTACAACGAGGGTCATGGAGCCAAAGTTATATCAAGATACCAAGAAGAAATTTAATTTTTCCTGCTATGTAAGTAAAATTGAGTGGGGAAAGGTAGATTAAATGGCCTTGGAGGTTCCATTCAAACCTGAAATTTTGTGATTAAAGCTTTAAAAATCACTCTTCCATTCAAGATGCTAGAAAATGGAATGCATTTGTGCCTACTTGACATTGTTTTTGGGAATCATCCCCAGGATAGCATTCTATTTGCTCCAGGTCACTGTGTCTGAACAAAGGAGAGGAAGGGAAAGGGTAGGAGGGAGGGCCGAGAGTTCCAAGTCTCAGAGTCTGACTGACGCCAGGCGGTTAATCTTCCATCGCCTCCCCCCTCTCCTCTCCCCTCTCTTCTGCCTTCCTCACATCCTCCATAACCTGCTTCTGCAAAGATTTATCTTGCATGTCTAACTCCAAATTACATAAGAGAATTTACTTGGTGTAAGGTGGAACACAAGTTTTCTAGAGTGATTTGGGTGGGGCGGGGGAGGAAGGATGGAAATATGACCCTTGTATTCTCCAAAATATTGGTGAAAAATCATCCAATGCAGTTCACACTTTCTTGCCTATGCAGTGACTAGGTAGTTCCTAAAACCATATTTCTCATAGTTTTTATTTTGAACGATCTGAAATTATCCTGGTGGCACCATGATTCTTACCTAACAGAACAATTTTCATTTCTACTCTACTCTTCATCTAACAAATAAATGTGGTCATAATCTACTCCAAACACCACACGGGTGTTGGGACAGCTCATGTGTGTCCTCTCTTCAGCAGGCCAGGAGGCGGGCACTTACCGATAATATTTCTCTTTGACTATGGCATAAATGAGGACTAATGCCAGAGACCCATCCAGGACAACAGTCAGAATTTCCAAAGACACAATGGTTGGGTCAAAATAAAGCCATCTTGCATCAGCTTTGCCATATTCTTTCCCTACAAGTGAAATACATTTTGTTACTCATCTGGCAACCATTTTTATGACAGTCAGTGGAAATGACCTTTTTTTTCCCCTAAGGAGGAGATAAAAAGAAGAACTGCCCCCCCCCCCTTCACAATGCCTCGTGGAACACAGGAGGACTGAAGCTAAAACCCATTTGCTACGTGACACGAGTAATAAAAACAACGTCACGTGACATTTGTAAAAGGATTTTGGTTCCCAAAGCACTTTCACACATGCATCCTCTTGGCCCCCGCCCTTTTCACTGTAAGCAGAATTCTAAATTAATTCAGCACGGTCAGATTTTGCAAAGACGATCCTTAATAACTATCTTGGTAAACGCGTTACAATCCTTACTTTAAAATTGCTACGTAAAGTCTGTAGGTATAATCGAGACGTGGGGAAATTTTTATTAAGGAAACGTTTATTAAAAAAAGTGTTTATTAATAATTGAAGAGAAATTGAGTGCCGAGGGCACGGCGGGGGGCATGGTAATGACACAGCCTGGACTACAGAAGGGGTCCCGGATGGACACGGGCGGGGGCGGGGCATTTCAGTGCAGACAGGAGTCACTAAGAACAGCCACCACAGAAGCCTCTGCTGTGGTCACCAGAGAGTGGGCGTGCCCTAAGAAATCCTTCCAGACCCTGTTATCAGGATGGTTTCTTCTAGAAAGAATGAAGTGAGAAAGTCATTTTAGAGGGGGACTGAGAGTCATGCACTGGGAGAATCCTCCCTCCCCCCCTCCCTCCCTTCCTTCGTCCTCTGTTTTCCTCTCTCCCTCGTCTCTCCTCTCTCTTTTAATTCATGAAAGTAATACATGCTGCTCGTAAGATCTCAAATGATCAGAGTGAAAAAGTGAAAGTCCCACCTCTTCTCGCTTTGATACTGTTCTCACATTACTTAGAAAAGGCATGAATGATCAAATATCAGCTACATTATCTGATTGGTCGGGGCAGCAGACAAAGCTCTAGTCTCTATTAATGGCCCAAGTTAGGATCCCTCGGGGCCAGGGACAAAGGGTTCTAATGAAGGCCGTCCTGGCAGAAAGAAAGGCCAATAAACAGGATTAGCCATTTAATGAGATAACACACAGACACATGCTGAGCAGAGACTCTGGGAGGCCAGACACGACGGACGGGCCAGGCAGAGCTGCGCTGTCGGTCCCGAGTCAACGGCCAGCCAGGAGCTAACCGGAAAACAACATAATAGTGAAAGTAAGCTTTTCCTCTAAATCTAAACATATATACGGGGGCGCCTGGGTGGCTCAGTCAGTTAAGCCTCTGCCTTCGGCTGAGGTCATGATCCCAGAGTCCTGGGATCGAGCCCCGCGTCGGGCTCCCTGCTCCGCGGGGAATCTCCCTCTCCCTCGGCCCCTCACCCAGCTCGTGCTCTCTCTCTCTCTCAAATAAATAAATAAAATCTTAAAAAAAAAAAAATATATACATCTGAAATGTTCCCTCTAGTGCACCCAAAATCTAAGGAATTATCACTAATGTAAAATGTCAGGTGCTTTAGGAACTAAGAGATCAGTGGGTGTTTAAACATGCAAAAATAACCCCATTCATTCATTCTTTAATTCAGCAAAGCTTCTGGAGCACAGGAAGGCTCTGTGCTGGGCCTGGGGAATGCAGCCTTAACTAGGATGGGAAACACAGGCGGCCCACTAGGGCTCCCTTTCTGAGGTCAAACTGCACAGTAAGTGACGGCAATTGAATGTGGAAGGTAGAGAAAGAGACACTTGGGCCAGATGAGGGAGATGAGGTGTGATCACTTCCTCCTTCCCGCTGTTGGTGAGGAGGGAGCCCCAGCCTTGGGCTATGGGGGTGGCCACACACAACAGGTGGCACTGGACGGACGAGGCTGATGGCAACTTACAAGTCACATACACTCACAGCCGGGGGAAAGAGGGCACTGCGCGCCACCGGGCCATGCGGGGGCTGCACTCAGAACCGGAGCGAACCGGGAAGGGCCCGCAGGAGGCAGGCTCTGCAGCAATGAGGCTGCGGCGGCCCCTGGTTCCTGCAGCAGGAACGGGCTTCTTCCAGTAATCCGGGGGGCTGGCAAGGAACTGAAGCCTGCTCCTCAGGGATCTGCGGGCACCGTGCCTGGTCCTTGGGACAAGGAGGGTCGTTTGGCTCATAGGAGGAAGCAGAGTGCGGAGGGACCTTGCGGTTAGTCCATGTGAAGCCCTCTGGATTTTATCAGCTGTCAATACCTAATACTGGATCTTAATTTCAGGCCTTACACCACTAGCCCCCCCCCCAGTTTTATTGAGATGTAATTGACATCTAGCACTGTATGAGTTTAACATGTGCGTCACAATGACTAGGCCTACATACATCATGAAATGATTACAATGCGTTCAGTGAACATACATTCTTCATATAGATACAAAAAATAAGGAAAGACGGTGTGTTCTTCCTTTTGGTGAGAACTCTTTGGATCCATTCTCTTGATAACTTAACAGCAGTGGTAACACATCATATTGTACATTATATCCTCAGTACTTACCTATCTTGTAACTGCAAGTTTGTACTTAGTCACCTTTATCCAGTTCCCTCAATCTCCACCCCCCCACCTCTGGTAACCACAAATCTGATCTCTTTTTCTATGAGTTTGAGGTTTTTTTTTTTTAATTAAGATTCCACATAGAAGTGAGATCATACAATATCTGTCTTTCTCTGTCTGGCTTGTTTCACTTAGCATAATGCCCTCAAGGTCCAACCATGTTGTCACAATGGCTGAATTTCTTGCTTTTTTTTATGGTTAAGTAGTATTCCATTGTGCCCACGCGTATGCACACACACCCCAAACTTCTTTATCCATTCACCTGTCGATGGACACTTAGGTTGCTTCCATGCGTTGGCTATTATGAATAATGCTACCATGAACATGGGGGTGCAGATATCTGATTACTCTTGATACCTGATCAAATTCCTCAACCACCACCCTCTATATCATATCCTATCATCCTGGCCTGCCTGCAGCAAGACTCCTGTTGAGTCGGTCTATTAAGAGTCTCCACTCGATGTTTCTTCTTAGTAATTTTCCATCCACTGACCCCACCAGCTTCTTGGCCATAAAGCTCCACCTGTCCTTGTTGCATCTGGACTTGAGCCCGATCTCGCTTCCCTACTGCAAGACTCCACTGTAGGGGTACCTCCTGAATAAATTCTTCCTTATCATCTTGAACAAGTGTCATGAATAATTCCTCTTTAACAGGGTCCATGTGATGTTTATAGCCCAGCTCTACATCCTGGTGAATCAAAGGATGGTCCGCAGATCAACATCTGGGAGGCTTTACCGTAGATCCTCTGAATCAGAATCTGTATTTTAAACAAGAGTCCAAGGCAAGCTGGTGCACTTTAAAGTCCGAGAAGAACTACTTTACATTATCTACTGGATTTTCGTTTTCTCAAGAATAAAGGACACCACCATTAAATGAGTTTTTACTTTTTTTAAGGCCAAAAAATGTAAACTGAAGATGACTGATAAAGATCATGTTAGACATTTGCATTTCATGGGACTGGGCCAAAGCTGGGCTGTTCACTTTCTCTGATGCTAGGCCAGGCAGCCAGGGTGGAGGACAATGACTTAGGCTGCGTCCTCCAGCCCTGGGCTTCCCCAGCAACTCTCAGGCACAGTTTAATCCGGCCCACTCATCACACTGCACACACGAATGTGCACAGCAACATTTCCCTCCTGAGGTGGGGGCTCAGGCTCCCCGAGCTACCCCTGGCTGGGACCTGACAGGCATCAAAGACAACTCACATTTTGCTTTGAGAAGCACTAATGATAGCTGCCTGGATTCTCTCGAAGTTTCCTAACTCTAGTGATGAACAGCAGTCCAGACACAGGTCCTGGCTGAAGGACCTGATTTCAGAATTATGGAAGAAATGAGATAAACAATGCAGAATTTCTGATGCAAAGTCTCAAAGAAGTTACCTTGCATAAGGCAATTCTATAATGGTGGCGAAGGATCCTGTTGTTGCCTGGCTCACCTGTTCGTCAAATTTGACACAGTATGTGGGAGGAAGTCGATACTAACTGATGGAATGTTGACTGATTTACAGCAGCATGAAGAAGGTAGGCAAAACTAGTAAATACCTCTGCAGAGCTGGAGGAGCTTTGGAAATTATCTTCAAGACTACATATATATATATATGTATATACACACACACATATATACACACACATATATAGACCTCGTATGCATATATGATAAAGTGAAGGTTGATGTTAAAAGTATGGAAAAGCACCCAGTTTAAATACTGCAAACTATTCAATCTGCAGTATAAACATATTTTTTAATACACGGCTTTATTGAGATATAATTCACGCATCATACAATTCACCCATTTAAAGTGTACAGTTCAGTGGGTTTTAGTATATTCATAGATTTGAATCATCACAATGAAATTTTAGAACATTTCATTAACTCCCCAGAAGAAACCCAAACCCCTCACTCTCCATCCCCCTCCTCTGTTCCCCCTCTCTAGTCCTAGGCAACCACAAATCTATCATCTGTCTCTAGAGATTCCCCTATTCTGGACATTTCATATAAATGAAATCACACCATTTGTGCGACAGGGACTCATTTAATTGACAGCCATACTTGCAATTAATCTCCTCAAACATTCCAAATGCAAACATTTTAAAATTACTTACACAGTGAAGCAATCAAGCCTTTGGAATCTGCAATGTTTCCTACAAAAGACAAGTAGACAAAAGGGCCTTCCTGGAGAGAAGAAAATGAAAACAGGCTCTAATTTAGCATCACAGCCACAGGATGGCACCGCAGATGCACGGCAGCATCCCCAGGAGCCCACATCCTGGTCTGCGCCCTCCGCACCTCCACGACCCCGTGGGGTGTGAGCCTGGAGCCTGACCGCCCCCCCCCCCGCCCGACCTTGCAAAAAAATATGCCCAAAGGGAATGTTTATCTAATAAATGCTGTTTTTCAATGATTGGCATGATAAAAATCAGAGGTGTGTTCTTATGGGGAAAAATACATTGAAAATTTTGCACAAGGAAAGAGCTTAAAAGTTATATTAAATAGGCTAAACTCTGGATTATTCCAGAGATTTTACACCTTTGAGAAGTACCTCACAGCAGTTCATTTTGTCTCGCCTCAAAAAACAGCCAGGATCTCTCTTAACAAAAGTGGCATTTACAGGGGCGCCTGGGTGGCTCAGTCGTTAAGCGTCTGCCTTCGGCTCAGGTCATGATCCCAGGGTCCTGGGATCGAGTCCCACATCGGGCTCCCTTCTCTGCAGGAAGCCTGCTTCTCCCTCTTCCATTCCCCCCTGCTTGTCTTCCCTCTCTCGCTGTCTCTCTCTGTGTCAAAATAAATAAATAAAATCTTAAAAAAAAAAAAAGTGGCATTTACATATCTGTCGGAGTTAAACTAGTTATTTTTCCTGCATAAGGGCAAATTTAGGAAAATTAAAATCCTTACAGGCTACATTTTAAATTTTAGGTAACGAACATCTGCAGTTACACTGAGGACTTTCCTATCACTGAAGTGCTTCTTTGCTTAAATTTCAAAACTAATTAATTGGAATTCACTGGGGTATCTAATTGTCATGTTGCTCCTTTGAACAAATTTTATTGCACGTCACTACAACTTCTTTTCCCATTTCTTTTTACCAATGCAATTGCTTATATGACATTAAAATGATGTCTCTGCCTAATCCCTGCTCACTTATAGTACTACTTCCCAGAGGTTATCACTTAGAGCTGAATTTAGTTCTGGGGGTTATTGCCCTAACTCACAATATACTTACACTGCTATTTCTTTAGATATTCTCAACTGACTGCCAATCCTGAAAAATTATGATTTAACTTATGTCTCCCCTCTGCGTCTCCACTTTTTACAGTTTTTTGATAGTGTAGGGGAGGAAAAACTTCCTTCTGCCCTCTTTGACCCTGTAGCTGGCCTAAGAATTAACTGACATGACAGACTAACAGGAGGAAAGCACACACATTTTATTCACTATTTTTACATGTACATGGGAGTCCTTAAAAGTAAAACAAAGACCCAAAGAAGCTGTTAGGCCCAAAAGCTTGTATACTTTGTTTTACACAAAGAACGATAAATTACGGAGATGTGACAAGACAAAGGGGCGTAGACTAGGGGACAGTAAATTGTGGGAAAGTGACTAAGAAATATACGAGGGAAACCAGTGGAAGATAAGGGTTATTTTAGTAGGTTTGTTCGTATAGGTCCATTTCGGCATTGACTCCCAGTCTCTGGTGATAAGAACGTTCTTCTCTTCCTGGTGCAGGGAGGGCACCGTTCTCATGGGAAATTTAATGACCTGATTTTAGGTAGAAAGGAGGAGGTCAGAGAGGCCTTCCTGCATCTGCTTTTTTCCAAATGCCTTCAGCTCTTAACCATCAATATGCCAAAACGGCATAGTTTAGAGTGGCATGTCCTGAACCACACCCCCCTTTTTAAAGATTTATTTTATTTATTTGAGAGAGACAGACAGAGAGAACATGTGGGGGGGGGCAGGGGGGAGGGAGAAGATCTCACGCAGACTCCATGCTGAGCATGGAGCCTGACGACGCAGGGCTTGATCTCACAACACTGAGATCATGACCTGACCTAAAACCAAGAGTCGGTTGCTTAATCGATTGAACCACCCAGGTACCCCTGAATCCTTTCAAATAGCTATATTATACTCTTTAATTCTTCCATTAGTTACCAAATTTGTAACTCAGGTAGCAAACTTAAAAACCTCAGCTTCCTCATTCATCAGTGTTGCCCAGCATCTGGACTTCCCAATGTGTAAGATGAGGACGCTAGCCCCTGCCATGCTTTCTTCCTCTCCTCCCCATTTCTAACGCTCAACTTCTGTCTACTTTGCTTGTACATTGCTGAGATTGATTACATTTCCATTCTTGTTCTGTAAACATATTTGTCTTCCTATTTTATACGGATTCTGAAAGCTGAAAATCAACAGCATTTACAATATGGTGATTAGGTAAATGTCATTCACTGCAAAGGGCCACAACTTCTTTCTCTGCAGATCTAGTATTTTGACTCCTGTGTCATTTAAGAAGAATGTGGCAGCTGGAATATCCTTTATTACACTCATAAATTTCTCAAAATCATGCTGTATTTTAGTTTGCTACATATTTGGGCTATGACTTTCTTATAAAATATTTTTATTTAGTTACAGTTTTTAATTGCCTTTCTTTTTCTCTTATTGAGAGAAGAAACCTGACTTTCTCCCCATCTCATTAATATCTTCCAGCTTTTTTTTTTTTAAAGATTTATTTATTTGAGAGATCGAGAATGAGAGAGAGTACATGAGAGGGGGGAGGGTCAGAGGGAGAGGCAGGCTCCTCACTGAGCAGGGAGCCTGATGCGGGACTCGATCCCGGGACTCCAGGATCATGACCTGAGCCGAAGGCAGTTGCTTAACCAACTGAGCCACCCAGGCGCCCTTCCAGCTTCTTATACATGCTCATCTCTGCTAAACAGAAGCTTTAAAGTTGGTTTGTTCTGTCTTTTCTTGACACTTCGTAAGTTACTTACTTGGTAAATGTGGCTTACCTCAGAGTATATGTAAAAATTATATTCTTTAAGGGAGATTTTAAAAAATTACAAGGAGATAAACAGCAATGTTTTAAAATAAGAAGTATTCCCCATCCACTGTGTAACACTTTATTTTCACCAATCAATTTTTTATTTTTAGCAGAGACATAGCAGGAAATCCACACCATTTCCCTGGCTTGGCCTGGGGACTTTCTAGACAAAACACATCCACTGGCCTGGCCAGCAGAAGCAATAAAGCTGGGCTGAATTTGATCCTCTGTAGGTCTCATTCCATCTATCTGTAAGATGAAGGACGGCCTAAAATTAGATTGTGGATCTCATCCTAAAACTAGACATGACTTCCACTAGCAATCTCTTCAACTGAAGCCATTAGCAACACCTGGACTCTGACATTAGGTCCGGGACCTTTCCTCAGAAGCAGCTCTGTGGGTAAGAGCAAGATGGGGATCTGGCAATTTATAACATGCAGGGACCTAGGAATGTATAACAAATTTTATCCCTTTTATATCTACCTGTTCAAATTCTACTCCTTTTTCAAATGCCAGTTCAAACCCTCCTTCCTCTAAGAAATCTTCCCAACCTCCTAGTGATAATTCCTCACTCTACTGTGTTACTAAATTTGTGCTTCTATAATCAACTGTCTGCTGGTTATCAATCTCTAGTTCCCATTAGATCATACACCTTTGGAGTCTGGAATGCTGTCTTATCTCAGAATCTTCAAGAACCCAGGATGATATTTTGTGTTCAGTGTTTACTAACCTTGAATTAATGACAAGTTCCCATTATGAATTACTTAGAAAGATACCGAGGGGCTTTTAGAAGGCACTGTATACTTCTTATTATATTAATGTCTCAAACGTAATGGCAGTCTACAGTCGACTCTCGAACAACACAGGGGTTAGGGGTACCAACCCCTGTGCAGTCAAAAATGCACATATAATTTTTGACTCCCCAAAAACTTAACTACCAATAGCCTACTACTGACCAGAAGCCTTACTGAAAACATAGAATCAATGAGCATATTTTGTCTGCTATATGTATTATATACTGTATTCTTACAATAAAGTGAGCTAGAGAAATTATTAAGAAAATCATAAGGAAACTACACCTACAGTACTGTACTATATTTATCAAAACAATCCATGTATAAGCAGACCAGTGCAGTGCAACCCATGATGTTCAAGGGTCAGCTGTAATATATGTCAAGTATACTAAATATATTCATGCCTCCACATGCTGATCAGATGCTGCCTCCTCCAGGAAGCAAGGCTTCACTGATTCTCTTGATGGGAAGTAGGTGCATCTCCTACATAGAAGAACCCTGCTTACTTGTCCCCTCCTCCAAACCATCAGTTCCTTTCAGGCAAAGTCTTTGTCTTTTATCTCTGTATTCCAAATGCCTAATAGATGGTACATGCTAATACATGTTTACTAAAAGAATAGAAATAAAAGAAGGGAGAGGGTAGTGGGGGATAACAGAGTTAAACAACAACAACAACAGCAAACACCCAATTAACCCATTTAGAAAATGGGCAAAAGAAATGAAACATTTCAGTAAAGAGGGTCTACAGACAGCAAGCAAACACATGAGAAGATGTTCCACATCATTAGCAGGCAGGGAAATGCCAATAAAAACCACAATGAGTTAGTACTCCACACCTATCAGAACGCATAAAATAAAAAAAAAAATAGTGACTACAACAAATGCCGATAAGGATGTGGATCACTCACGTGTTTCTGGTGGGATGAAAATGGTACCATTCTGGGAAACGAGGCTGGCAGTTCATTCTAAAACTAAATATGCAATTACTATGGGTCCCAACAATTGCACTCTTGGGCACCTGTCCCAGAAAAATAAAAGCTCATGTTCACACAAAAACAAGCACACAAATGTCCATAGCAGCTTTATCTGTAATAGCTTAAAGCTGGACGTCCTTCACCAGGTGAATGCCTAAACAAACCACAGTCCATCCACGCTGGAGCACTCCCGAGCAATAAGAAGGAACCAACTACTGATACGCTCGACAACTTGGATGGATCTCCAGGAAATCTGCTGAGCGAAGAAAGCCAACTCCAAAAGATTACATATACTCCGTAATTCCATTTATATAACACTTTTTGAAATGAGAAATTTTAAGAAATGGAGGACAGATAGAGTGGTTGCCAGGGGT